ATTAAACATCTCAGCCAGAWGAGATTTTTATCTGWAGATCAAGATGTGTATGAAAATTGCTTTTCCTATAATRCAYRAATGACCTTCCAAAAATATTGAAGTATTCAAATATTTTAMTGTATGCTGATGATACTGTTCTTTTTTGTCTGATTTCAATATTGAATCTATTAATAGTCAGTTACAAGCAGATCTTCAGACATTTCATGGTTGGCTTCGAGATAATCTTTTGTCAATTAATGTTAAAAAAACTGTGTGCATGTATTTTTCCTCACCCAGGAGACATTTCAATATAACAAATCAACTCACTTTTTTAAACAAACCCCTTGATATTGTCACTACCTACAAATATCTTGGAATTACTTTGGATTCTCATTTGACTTATCGTGATCATGTACAAGTCTTAACCACTAAGTTGAAACAGAAATTATACGTTTATTCAAAAATTAGATCCAATCTGWCATCTTCTGTTTCAAATATCTATCTTCATGCCATTATACTCTCAACCATGTCGTACTGTTTACCTGTTTGGTCTCTTACAACAAATGAAATCTTAGAACCCATAGTTAGGCTCTACAACAGGACCTACAAAATTCATAAAAAACTTCCTGGTTGGACTCATCACTGTACAGTTCTTTCATTGTCTGATGCCTTGACTTTTCAGAATTATGTTTTGTATAGTGGTATTAATTTATATTTTCAGATCTTCCAAGGTGCCAATTATGGAACTCTCTGTGCATTGTTGCCCAAATCAAATTCTGGAAGTGGTCAATCAACTAGATCTGTTACAAAAGGACAACTGATATTACCAACTTTTAAAAACTGTTACGGCCAGAGGTCTTTCTTCTATGTTTATACTAAAGCATGGAATGACATTCCTCAAAACATAAAGTCCATTTCAAAACTACAGCCCTTTAAGAAGAATCTTGTCTGCCATCTGCTGGACACTTTTTTGTTGTGCTCATATTTAGACATCCTATTTTGCAAATGCTGCCTTCCTGAAATTTGGTATGCTTGTTTGTCTTTGTGTCWATGGTGTACAATGATGTGATTGTGATGCTGTAATTCTGAGTGTTTTATGTGCTGCAGAACAGGAACCTGCTGTAAAACAGCAATTATGCTGAGTCATGCTTGATTTTTAATAATCTTTTCCTGTTAAATAAATAAATCAAATCAAATCAAATCAAAATTTCATTGTCTCTGTACTACAAGGCTTTTATTTGTTTGTGTTTTATCAAAACTTTATTATAAGAARATTTGATGCAGTTAGTTGTTAGCTGTCTGTCATGAAAAATAAGTTCTGAGTAGTTCTGGGTTTTGTTTTGAACATAAATGAATGAATAAAACAGAAACCATGAAGATTAAAGTGTCACCACAATTTTGTTTGAGCTGTGTTTTTATGTAAAATACTGTTGCAAGGTTCAGAAAAGGTGGAACATCAATCTAAACTGACAGGCTTAATTACAGCGTCTGTGAGGAAACTGTTGTTTCTCTGGTGACCCAGACAGAATCTAACACAGTTATCAAACAAAAAACTTTACTGTTTCTCTAGTTTTCACATAAAAAAAACAGCAGCTCCAGTCTAAGTGACGGAAAATCAATAGGAACCAGAAACTTGTAATTTCTTTGAAACGAGGCATGAATACAGCACCCTGAGTGACTGAAGAAGTTGATAAAAGCAAAACACTGAAAGCTAAAGGCAACAAAAGGCTAGCTACAAGTACAAAAAAGCTAGCTAAAAGCTACAAAAACTAAAAGGCTTGCTCAAAGCTAAAAGTAGCAAAAGGCTAACTAAAATTTAAAAATAGCTGAAGGCTAAAGCTGCCAAAGCTGCTTAAGCTTTTGCCTAAAGCTAAAAGTAGCACAAGGCCAGTTAAAAGCCAAATCAGCAAAGACGTACTTAAAAGCTAAAAACAGCAAAAGTCTAACTAAAAGCTAAAAGTAGCAAAATTCTTACTAAAAGCAAAAAATAGCAGAAGGCTAACTATAGCTAAAAGTAGCAAAAGGCTAACTAAAAGCTAAAAATAGCTGAAGGCTAAAGCTACTAAACTAAAGCTGCATTACTTAAGCTTTTGCCTAAAGCTAAAAGTAGCAGAAGGCCAGTCAAAAGCTAAATCAACAAACTATTAACTAAAAGCAAAAAGTAGCAAAAGGCTAACAAAATGCTAACAGTAACGCAATGCTAGTTGAGAGCTGAAAGTAAGAAAAAGCCAACTACAAGCTAAATGCCAGTTAAAAGCTGAAAAAAGCAAAACACTAAAAACTAAAGGCAGCAAAAGGCTAGCTACAAGTACAAAAAAGCAAGCTACAAGCTACAAATACTAAAAGGCTTGCTCAAAGCAAAAAGTAGCAAAAGGCCAACTAAAAGCTAAAAATGGCTGAAGACTGAAGCTACTAAACTAAAGCTGCATTACTTAAGCTTTTGCCTAAAGCTAAAAGTAGCAGAAGGCCAGTCAAAAGCCAAATCAGCAAAGACCTAATTAAAAGCTAAAATCAGCAAAAGTCTAACTAAAAGCTTAAAGTGACAAAAGTCTAACTAAAAGCTTAAAGTGACAAAAGTCTAACTAAAAGCTTA